CCCCCACCCCGTGGGCCCGGCCTCAGTCCAGGGGCGCGCCCTGCGGTCCCCGCGCCGGCTGAGGCGCGGACCCAGACGCGGGAGAGGGTGGATCCGAGCCCTCGAGAGAAGCCCGGGTGCCCCCAGCCTCTGCGCCGAGGGGTGAGGGGTGAGGGGTTCCTCCCGAGACGTGGGTTCCCCCTTCCTCCGAGCCCAGCTGGGGGGCAGCACGCACCCAGCGTGGGGCCCAAGGGCAGCCACTGCGGACCTCGGGGCGCCAAGAGCCTTGTCCTGGGATTCCCTGGCTGGCGACCTGCCCGCTTTTGTAAGGAAACCGAGGCAAGAGGCGACAAGTTCCCGGTATCTCCCAGGGGCAGAGGCGGAGGCCGGGGAGACCCTATGTCCGAGCCTCCAGGCCCTACGGGTCACAGGTGGAGGAGCAAATACCTTTGCGGAAAGAGCTTGAAGGGACAAGCTGGGGGGGGAGAGGGGGGGAGTTATGATCACAAAGGGGCGGCTGTTTTGGTTTCTACTCAGCCAGGGAAGAATAAAGAACGAACGCTCACGGTTTAAAAATATAGATTTATTTTCATTAGTAAAAAGTTCAATACTGAGAGGAAGACGCACGTGTCCTAGTGCATCCGGGGCGCCAGGGCCTGTCCACCGGTGTCTGCTCAGCTCGGAGCCCCCCCCTTCCGGGCCGACCTCAGCACTCGCCCTGGTCGGTTTCCCACTAGGAAGCGAGTGGCGAGTTCTAAGGGCTCCTTACAACCCTAAGCCAGAGCTCAGCTCGGTGCCGGCTGCCAGGCCGTGCCTGGGACTGCCGTGTCCTGGTCTGGATTGCGATGCCTCAGTCATCTTGCTGGAGGGAGACCAGGTGGCATGCCAGCAAACCTGGCTTCGGCATTTCAGTCAAGAAACGCAGACTGCAGAGCAGCGGTTGAAGTTACTTTGCGTTTCTGTTTTCCAAACCACACGGACCTAAAACGTCCGTAAGCGCTGCCTGTGCTACAGATGTGCTACGCCTCACCCAATACTGCAGGTAGACACGGAGCCGAAGGCTGCTACAAAATACCCGGGCGGAAGGGAGGAAGCGGGGCATTCGGTGAGGCGAGTCTTTGCAAAGTCACGTCCACGATGAACGGAAAGCCCGGGGCTCCCCGTGACCCCATCAGAACACCTGAGGACTTCCGAGCGGACCATGACTACGTCACCACAAGGATGCTCTCCACCTTCGAGGATGAACTCGGATTCTAGGTGACGGAAGAAATCCCTGGTTTGATGTTTTAGGAATCCATGAACACACAGAACGAAACCGGGAAAACCTGGCCGTCCTGACACGGATCTTTAGAATAACAATCCTATTTAGAACATCTCCTAGACCGCTGGCCACTTTTCCTCTTGGTGTTTGCTATCAAGAGAATACAGTCTTGCCTTCAACACTGTACACACAACAGTTCCACCAAACAGCTTAAAAACAAAGCAAAACAACTGCTCTGGTGACATGACGCTAAGACCAACAGCTTCGTAAAGAAAATTCCCATTAGTGCTGAAGGGACACCATCACACTGTTTCTAGAGAGTTCTGTTAGGACCATTCATTTGCTTTTTTAGAATTACATTCTACATAAGTTTCCATGGAGACATGACGCACTCCTGGTCCCATACCCTGATAGGCGTTCGTTAGAATTACCAAGGTGGCCCCGGGACAGTGAGCACCGGGGAGCGGGGGTTCCAGCAAGTGCTGTCTCTCATTTACTAACGGGCGAATCCTGGGTTTCCTCGGGATGAGTTAGCTCGCCCCCTGGAGTCGTGATGAAAACGGACAGCCTGTGAGGGGACGTGGGACAGTTGGGGGCAGAGAGCAGAATCATTTTTCCAGTTTCCTCAGCGTCACTATCGGCCTGACATTGAACATGAGGGACAAACGCTGGCAATTTCAACCGGTGCTGGGTGACACCCACGGAGGGCGCATGGAATCGCCACACAACGTAAGGTCTGATGGGGGCCCGGCCGGCGTGGCTCAGGGGCTGAGCACAGATCTATGAACCAGGAGGTCACAGTTCATTCCCCGTCAGGGCACATGCCGGGTTGTGGGCTCGATCCCCAGTACGGGGCATGCAGGAGGCCCATCCATGAGTCTCTCTCATAACTGTTGTCTCTTTCTCTCTCTCTTCCTCTCTGAAATCAATAAAAATGTCTATTTCTTAAAAAGGTTTGATGTTAGAGTCAGTTATGCCTGGCTGTGCATAACGAGCCGGGGGGGGGAGGATGGCGACAGACAGCCTTTGGCATGTGTTACAGAAAATGTGACATGTGAACGTACTGCCGGCTCGTCCTCAAAAGAATTAAATTACCCACAAACCATGACAGTAGAGGAAGGATGAGCATAATTCACAGGCGACAGGCCAGATCAACATGTCCAACAGGCCCGATTCCCATTCACTCAGAACTAAACGTCAAGTGAGCAGAGGCATTTAAACAAGACTCCAACTCAGTGGCCGAGAATCAGCTTCCCACCGAGCTAAGGAGTGTGGGACGCGCGTGAACTCTAAGTGCCCCCGTCGGGCCTTCATTTAGAATCAGCCTCAGAGTAAAAAACGGTCACCGTACTGTCCTCAGGGTGGGTTCAACCTCCCCGTGGTAAAACATCCTCATTTACATTTGGTTATAAAAGTGTACAAAAGACTCCTTTCTCCCTTTCCTCCGCTCAGGAGAGACCCCTGCTGCTCAGTCACGCCCGCCAAGCGGTCCCCCGAGTCCAGGGCATGTCGCTACTGCATCTCCACAGTCACACGGTGTCACAAGGCTCAGCACACCGTTTCCTCCCAAGCATACGGCGACCGTGACCGGAGTGACGTAAGAACAGGGCGAGAGTCTTTTAAAAAATATACCAGGGGAGTAAACATGTTGCAGGTTTCTCCCACATTCCCCAATTAAGACAAAACTGTAAAACCACCTCCTCCTCGTAATCCCAGGAGCACACAATAAAAAACGTCCGCATACTCTGGGCAAGCAGAATATTAAATGTGTCCTTTGATGATCCGTCATTAAGCTTTTTAAAAAACTATACTTATTCAGCTGTTGGAAAATATTCTCTGACTTCAGGTGACAGAATAACTGTTTTTTGTTGTTGTTTTTTTAATAAGGTGAAAAGGAATTAAGTACCTAAGACTGTTTCCTATTAGCTGCTCAAAGCGGGCTTCTCTCCCCCAGCCTGCATTTTAAAAAATAAGTTTAACGTGACTTTTGGCATTAACTTATAATTGCTCATCAGGAAAACGGGAATAAATTTATGTATCTAAATTGATAAGCTTTACAAAATATTTAACGTGAGGAAGAGGTATATCTTACAGAATTATTTGGCTAGGTCCTAAGGCAATCAATGAAGACAGAATTTTTCTGATCGTAAATCGGACACAAGTGAATTTCTACAACATGATAATCCTCCGTCAATGGGAAAGCCCGGCGGCTGCAGCGCTGCAGTCACGCCCTGTCGTCGCTGAACTTCCATGAAAGTCGTCTGAATGAGAAAGGAACAAATTTGGTGCCTGCACCAACATAGAATTTGTTCTGAAATTCCACCCTAAAATTAAAAAAATCCATGTATTAATGAAAGGTTGCGAGTGACATTCCCCACATTTCGTAAAACAACTTTTATAAATTAAGAACAAAAGATTCCTGGGCTGCAGCTGCTTCGTCCCATAGTGCTCTTGCAGAACTATTTGTACTGAGACAAAATGGGCACGCGTGCTCGCCCTGTGTAGGCATGACGTGTTAGAAACATCGCACCGCCTCATGCACTGCACACACGTGTGCACATACACACACCAGCACCCAGGGCCTCTCCCCCTGCCGTGGTAGCTGGGCACACAGACAAGCAATCTGAATTCACTGTGAAACACTGAGAAACAGGTCTGAAGCCTTTTACAAGATAAAGCAAGGCCCACGGTGAACTGAGCCGGAAATACACAAACTACTGGGCAAGCATGAACTTGCTCTCGCTTGTCAGGGGTAACAGCTCAGGAACAAAACAGAATTCTTCCTCGGGGGATCTGAACACAGCCCCCAATGTGAGGAAGGGAAGGCACAGCTAAATTAAGCTCTGGATTTTGGGGGGGTTGAATACACACATCTGGGGGAGGGGTTCCGTTTTTCGTAAGGAATAGCTGAGCTGCGGGCTCACCAATGGAGGCGAATGGCGTGGAGGAACGCAGACAGCCCCTCCATGACCAGCAGGATGAAGATGGTCAGCACGGCGAAGAGCGCCATCACCGGGAGCAGCAGCAGGACCCCGTAGGTCTTGTCCACGCGGAGGCCCACGCGCATCAGCATGGCCCACAGCACGTCGGACAGCTCTGTTCATGGAAGTGAGTCACCTCCTGACCATTCCCACCGCTGCCCATGAGTAACACCCTCCCCACTAGGACACGTCACCCGCTTCTCACGGACCATCTCGCGCACCGAGGAGGCAGGGCCGGGCAGGACGGGCAGCCTGCCTCCCGGGAGAGGTCGAGCCAACTGGGGCCCGTCAGCTCTGTCCCCACGCAGCTCTGGCCCATGAGCATGCGTTTCTCCCAGCAGCCCTGGGCCAGCTTCACCCCGGAGCTGAGAGACGGGGCTGCGCTTCCCCCACAATTTAAAGCGTCCTGTGAGTTGGTCGGTGCTGGGGGGAGGGTATTAGGGGGGACACTTACGTGCGTGGGCCAGGCTGAGGGCCCAGAGCCGCAGGTAGGACGCGGTGTTGGAGATGCAGCCCAGGCAGTACTCGATGGAGTGGATCACTTGGGTCATCAATATTTCTCCAAAGTTAAACTGCGGGAGACCACGCAGCATGGTTAGCGTCAGTGCCAGGCAGACCCCGCGAGGTCCAAGCCCGCGCCACTCTCAGGGCGACCGTGAGAGCTGGTTGCGGCCCGGCGCGAGGACGCCAGGGTGCGGGGCGGCGACTCACAGCTCTGCTCGCAGCCCTCCCCCGCACCCCGCCTCAGTGTCTCACCTGGAGACGGATTATCATCCTTCTCACCAAGACCATCACTACATGAAAGCTTAGTGATGAGTCTATTCTTTATTGATTTCAGAGAGGAAGGGAGAGGGAGAGAGATGGAAACACCAGTGATGAGAGAGAATCATGGGTCAGCCGCCTCCTGCACACCCCGCACTGGGGGATGGAGCCCGCAACCCGGGCCTGTGCCCTGACAAGAACTGAACCGTGACCTCCCGGTTCCTAGGCCAACGCCCCACCACTGAGCCACACCGGCTGGGCATGTGCGTCTATTTCATCATGAGGAACTGAAAGCTTTACCTCTTCACAGGTCACCTCCCTGCAGCCGTCCTCCAGCGGGGTGCTCCCCTCCTCTATGTCCTGGCTGCCCATCAGAGACACCTCCTCCTCACTGTCCTTCCTGACCAGCGTGTACCCACTCTAGCGACAAACAGGGAGCACGGTCGGCGGACAGGGAGCACGGTCAGCGGACAGGAGCACGGTCAGCGGACAGGGAGCACGGTCAGCAGACAGGGAGCACGGTCAGCGGACAGGGAGCACGGTCAGCAAACAGGGAGCACGGTCAGCGCCTTCCAAAGCGAAGCTGTGACAAGGCCAAGGTCAGAGCCCCCGGATCCTCCTCACGAGTTTTAGACTCTCGGGAACACAAACGCCCTTTAGGATGAAGTGAGGGCTCTACACCCATTAGGAGAGCGATTATAAAAACATCACACGAGCGCGTGCTGGTCGGGGGCCGCCCCCAGCGGAGCAGCAGCCCTGCGGGGGGAGGCGCTGCACGGGCTCCCGTGGAGGCCTGGGCCCCGAGGGGAGGAGCACATGTGAGCAGCCACTC